ATTTCTGAGGGCTCTATTGGTGGGGCGGGGGGCCCAGCACTAAAGCAGTTCCAACATTATAGTAGCCACAAGTACCCCCTAAACCTTAGCCCCTAAACCCTAACCCAATCCTCAAATCTCACAAGCAACCCCCATTTTTTACAAAGTGCCTCGGACCCTCCAAGCAGCAGAGTCTTTTCATCAAGGGGAACCAATTATTGTTGGAATCTCTGAAGCCCTGAAATCCCTCAGGCCCGTAATCTTAGGGACGTCTACCACATAAAAGAGGACACAACCCTAAAGCGGCAGGTTCCTAGGGTCCAGACACACGCTACTTGGAGGTTCAGGGCACTTACAGCCCGATGATACATGTAATTACAAGCCAATTTTCATAAGCCCCCCTAAGTCCCACAACGTGGTTATACTTGGGGTTAGTGATACTAATTACTGAGAATGGGGTTAGAATTTGTTAAACTTCCCCTAAACCCGAAACAAATTAGCCAGAACGTAAATGACCCCGACTCTTCCAGTACACCCTAAACCCTAAACCCTGAACTCTGAACCCTAAGCCCTGAACCCTAAACCCTAAACCGTGAACCCTAAACCCTTAAACCCTAAACCCTAGATCAGCCGGCATGCTTTTGCTGCAGCGAAGGAAAGTAAAAGCCGAGGCCCTGGTCCCCGTTGTCGGTCACTGCAGACAGCCTTGAGACCACCCGGGGGTTTAGGGGTTTGGGGGTTGAGGAGTTTAGGGGTTTAGGGTTGAGGGGTTTAGGGGTTGGTGGGGTTTAGGGCTTAGGGGTTCAGGGGGGTTTGCTTTTTTTTAGGGTTTAGGGGTTTATGGTTTGGGGGTTTAGGAGTTTATATAGAGTGTATGAGATTTGCTGGGGTGATGACAACAACAGATAGGACCGATAAGAATGAGAACGAAAGACACTGGTGGAACTAGCGAGGTCTAGAGGGTCAACTATACAGTGGGTAAAGGCAATACCTCGTTACAACTTGCCTGTTTCCGAAGATACAGCAAATGTTGCGTTTCCCGCATGAGGGTACCCTAGAGGTCTCTCGAATGTTCTGCCATATCTCCGTGACTCGCAGAAGGCCATGGCAGCGCACATTTTCCATAAATATGGATACTGGAAAATAAAAATGGAAAATGCTGTAGTCCATTGGGGTTATACAGGGATAACGGAAAAGAACATCCCTAAACCCTACACCCTTGTTTGCTCCTGGACGCCCGCAGCATCTGCCAGACTGATGGGCATCCTAAACCCTAAACCCTAGCCTGGCGAGCATCTATGCAAAATTAGCAGGTCTAGGGTCTAGTGCATAAGGTGAAGGCTGTGATGGTGTTCGAGCATAATCTAGGGGACCCAAGCGGGTAGTTGAGGATCCACTATGTATCGCCGTCTCGGTAGAATCTCCTGCAAGAGTCCCTATGGCCCATTCCTACTACTGACTTTAAATCCGAAACCCAAAGTCCTCCCAAGATCCGAAATCTTAAGCCCCGAATCCTGACCCCTAAGCCTGAATGCAAAGCTCAAAGCCCCAAACCCTAGGCAAACCCCCCAACAACGTAATTATCAGGTCTTGGGCCATGTTGCGGATAGGGTTTAGGGTCTAGGAATTAGGGCTCAGGTAGTTTCCAGGAATCCTAGCGTTTACTTGCTGGTACTTGCGGGGGGACGGTATATTATAGTGACCATGATAGGAGATGATCTAGAACACTACAAGGACAAGGAGGATAGAATCTTACCCTCTTGACTCGTACTAGGGGCCTACGGTATCCCTATCCAAAAAGCTCATACCCCCTTCCAAGAAAAACTGTACCCCCTCTTAGCAGTTATATATCCCCGCCTCTTTGACTGGTACCATATTGCTAATCAGGGATTTGTTGGTTACTCCGCCCCAAGAAATCAAATGCCGCCTTTTGTCACCTGATATTTATAGGTCCTTGATAAAGCTGTTGGGGAAACCAAAATGACCCCAAACCGCAAACCTGAGACCCTCATTGTTCATTCATTGCCGAAGGATGAGCACCTGTACATTCGATTCTCCAAAATTGGGGACTATCTAGGCTCCTGGTCCATTCCATTTTGCCATGTCTTTCTCATGTGATCCTCCATCCTTGGGAAAAATTCCTTTAAGCCTAAATCATGCGGCCATTGCATTTGCAGCCCTAAGCCCTACTCACTTCATTTGGCCAGGCCTGGGCGCCATGGGCTCAACGCACCAGCACTTTACCGGTGAGACGTTCCCGTCAACGCCTTTGGTGAGGGTGGTGGGTGGGGTGGGTGGGGCGGGGCGATGAGTTGTTGTGGGTTTAGGGGTGTGGTTCACGGGTTCTGTCGGACTTATATACAAATCTGTGCATATGTACATGTAGCCTAAACTCCTTAAAGGGGGTTTTATCAGGGATTATATGGGGGACCACTATTGGGGATGTTGAGGGGGATGCTAGGAGTTCAGACTATATGGCTCATCTGTTTATAATTCTATAATTGGGTCCTAATCTTCCCTAATCTTCTGGGTTGGGGTTACATACCGATATACATGCATCCCGCAAAAAAGCTATGCAAGCCCGGCTTCCATTTCCTTGTCCAATATATTCTCCAGAAGGCCAAAATCCTCCTGTTGCCAATCCTTATCCCTGATGTAGCCCCGGCATAAGGGTTTAGGGCTTAACCCAATATCAGCGCCTTCGGGCAACATGTTATCTTATTGGGGGTAAGAGGGGCTAATACTAGGATTCAGTCCTCCATTTCCTACGAACAACCAGCAAGTAGCGCCACTACCCCAGAAGGTTCTTGGACAACCTATGCTAGCATAACTTCGTGAACGGCTTACACTGGGATCAGGTGCGTGCCGGTTAACAAGCTGGAATAACATCATCTTCAAATCTTCCGCAGCTTATAGCCTCAACCCTAAAACCCTTTTGCACCCGGGACCCCTAAACTCCAAACCCTAAATCTTAAGCCCCAGTGGCCCAGACCCTAAACCTGAAACAATAAGCCCTCATTCTTGGCCGAGTGTCAGCAGCTGCCATCGATACTTCTCTTGAGGAGATTCCCGCGATCATCAACACCCATGGCAAAGCCTGCAGTCACCGCATTTGAGGGGTTGTAGGGGTTTGAGGGTTACTGGTTTAAGGCTTCGCTTAAGGCTAAGGGTTTCGGGCGCAGAGCAACAAAAATGAACAGAAGCCCTTTCCAGAGTTGATGTGGGGGTGCCACACTCCCTTGAGGAAGGCTATGAAGCTTCCCGGGTCATGATGTTCACATAAACGGGATCTTCATGTTTTGGGTATGCCGTCTGGGCCTCCTACACCCGGTGCTTAAAAGTCTGTATGACAATACATACCCTGTACTTAGGGAATTGTAACATTTCTTGCATGCCAAGGTCAAGCAGGACTTGCAGTATCGAAAGTAGGAAGCCATAAACCTACTACGTGCAGCCTAAGGTAGCCTCCATTTGGTAACAAAATGGTAAAGCAAGGTCGTAAAGAGTGAAAGTAAGGCATACACCCTAGCCCCAAAAGCCTGAGCCCCAAATCTTAAACGCACAACCAGTTCAAAGCTCTTATGGCTGAACAATTGCAGTCAAGGCATGTTCACTGTACGTACGCTTTGGGAATGACATTCGGGTTTAGCGTGTAGAGTTTAGGGTCTAGGGGTTTAGAGGCCTAAGGTTTACAGTTTAGTGTTTAGGGTTAACCAGCATCAACAGTACCGCGTGTTCGGACATTCATCGCCAGGTCAAGCTTTAGGGAAAAGATTTTTTGGGGGGGATCTGGGTCTGCCTTTCATATTCTGTGTGGATGTGTATATGCATATCTTCACGGAATGTCATATAATCCCATGCTTAGGGTTACATATCTATATATGTATACGCTTATCTTGGGACATGAGTATATGTACATAGGGCCACATATAGGGTCGTATAGGATGTAAGGTTTCCGGAAATTAGGAAGTGTACTGTGCTGGGGTCTATCTGAGGTCCTCCTATTGATGGAACCCCTCAAGCTATGAATGGGTCTGAAGAACCCCCTAAACCCTAAACATGTGGACTCCAACTTCTAGATGGGATGCCATCATGTGAGGAATAAGGGAGGCCCCCTAAGCCCTACCTAGACCTTCCAAACACCCATACCAAGAGGCGTGTACCCCAAAATAACGGGTATGTAGGCATTTCGTATGTGTACATTCAGGAGGTCTCATCAAATCCTAAACATTCTAAAGGCCTGAAACACAGGAAACCCAGGAGGGAGGAACCCATGTCCTGACCCCAATCCTGACCTCCACAGGTTCTAGCGGAGCTGGCATGGACCTTCTACAACATGATCAAATGCGTAGCCCGGGGCCCCCGCTCCCTACGCACGTACCTTACTGAACCTTAGCAGGGAATAAGGGGCTATAGTATAGAACTATTCTTTAGGGTTGTAGTCCCTTATTCCCTACTACTAAGAACCAGTACAGTAAGGTGCTGGAATCAAGGATGTGGCTGCTTTTTGTCCACTACTTGAGGCGTCGGATAAGGAGCGACGGCAGGTCAACCACGCAGGCATCACACAATCAAGTTTCCCCAATGATTGTGCGGGTAGATCATGTACTGCCTCACCTCTGAGACATCTGCCAGACAGTGTCTGATCCAAGGAGCCCACGCCGGCTACAAAACACAGACATGTAGCGGCTCCTATCCTATACAAATACATCTTCTTTACGACTGATAGCCACAAGTTATGTGATCATGGATGTAGGCACGTCTGCCTTGTCGGATCCCCCTGTAGCATGAGCCCAAAGCCCAGCTGCCAGTTCGAAGTCTGGTCTGCTGAGCACCGTCACGATTAAAAGTATTACTACGACTGCTAGTATTAATCCTACTACTCTTACTCATTCTGGTGCTGTCACCCTTGCTAGTACATTTACACACATCAATATCGAACAGCCTATGAAAATAATTCGGTGACGAGGCCCGTCTGCCTCTGGGGATCTTTAGGATCGGAGCTTTGCCCTTTGGATTGCCTAGGCGCCAAGCACGGACCGCTTTGCGGGCGGGATGGTGGCCTCTTTGGCTTTCTTGTCCTTGGCACTCTCTTTGGCCGCATCCTTCTCCCCCTTGGAAGCCCTTGCTTTCCTTGCCGGTTTTTTGATCTCCTCGTCCTCGGCACTGGGCAGGGGCACATATGATTTTTTGGCCTCGTCATACTGGGCCTTCTTGACCTCATATTCGTCCTGGAAAATCTTCTTCGCGTCATCGCTGAGCTTCTTCCACCGGTCGGAGGCGAGCTTTGTGACAGCCGTAATGGGCTGACCCTTGGTCTCCTCCATGAAGGCCGCCCGGTTCTTAGCAAGGAAGCAGCCGAAGGCACCACCAGCCGGCTTCTTAGGTGCTGCAGGATCCTTCTTCTTGGTGACCTTGTCGGCCTTCCTCTTGATGCCCTTCTTCTCACCGCCCGCCTCAAGGAAGGCCTTCATGTCTGCTTCATACTTGGCCTTGGCCTCCTCAAACTTCGTCTGGTATATGGCCTTCTCTAAACGCTTAAAAAGGGGGGTTATATAGGGGATTATATAGGGGAGTACTATAGGGGTGGGTTCTTAAGGGGGATACCAGGAGTTTAGACAGTAGCTCATATGGCCTTCTCTTCGGCACTGATCTCCTTGAACCGTGCTCCGGCGAGCTTGGCAACCTCCGATGCGGGCTTCCCCGGGCCGACCTCCTTCTGCAATTCCGCGCGATGCTCCGCCAGCCAGACTCCATAGGCTCCTCCCGCGGGCTTCTTTGGCTGCTCTCCGGACATGGCTTGGAAAGATGGAGCGTGGAAGTACAGAGGGTGGTCGCAGTTTGATTGCTTGAAACCAGCGGCCATTTTGGTAGTTTCCCTAAATTACTGTTCCCAAAATGGGGGAAATTTATATAGGGCCCCGTATTATAATGGGAACCCAAATATAGGACCCCAAATATAGGACCCCGTATTATAGGGAATTTTGACCAATCCCCATTTAGGTTTCAGGTTTCGGGTTCTGTCTCACCAACCGCCTGGGAGCGAGCTAGGTGCAACACCCCTGACGGACGTAGAACTTCATAATCCCCCTCCCCAAATACAGTAAAAGCACCTCCCCAAGATTGAATATTTCTCTTGAGGTATAGTATAATGGTAGTTCCCCAAGATGAGGGGACCCTAATGTAGACCCCAAAATGCAATGATCCTTATCATGGGGACGACCGATAAGGTACCCTAATTTTCGGAAACCACCAATATACTTTGGGAACATCTAATATTACGGGCGTGGGGGTTCTGATACACTTGTAACACGCAACACCTCGCCCCGCCATTCCCCAAGTCGCTGAACAAATCGGGTTTAGGGTTTAGGGTTTAAGGGGTTTAGACACGCGCATCG